TTTTGCAGTACTTTAAAAAAGGGAAATTAGCATTTGTTAAAAGCGTTTTGCTTTTTTTTTTTTGGTGCCAATGTGGATACTTCAGAATGCTAGCGTGACATTTGATGGGAGAACGGAAAGGCACTATTACTCGTCTCAGCTGGTGGGTCAGATGTAATTGGCCCATCTCGAAGGTAAAAAGATTTATCGTCAGGAAATGGAATGTGGCCAAACGTGATAATGGCCTTTGGGTTCAGCATTTTACAAGTATTCATTACCCCTTCAGTGGACGGAAGCCAACTGGCAACAGGACACGCTTCCAGCCGTAGCAAAATTCCTTCGGAGGAGGTTGGTCTTATCCTCCACTAGGTGCAAGTTAAAGTAACTGAGTTACAGGCAATAAAAAGTCACTACGTTGAATAATTTAACAACGCCTCCAAAACAATTCTCAGAGGTGTAAAAAACGGCACATATGAGGCACACACGCATTGACCTTTTGAAGAGACTCAAGTCGTCATCCACAAATCTCTTCAAGGTGCAAATCGCCCTTATAATCATTGGGACACACTCCTGTGGCTTGTTTATACGGTGGCAAGGAGTAGGGCAAGGTGAATGTTTGGGCATAATTTTGGGGCCGATTTAAATGAAATGGGCAAAAGGGTTTCTACGTGCAGTTTTAAAGTCGCGTTTTGTGGATACATGAGGGGGATCCCATGCTGACGCAGGGTTGCTTTGGCAGCTTTTGTCGGTAGGATTTGGTCATTTGCTCATCCTTTCACTAATGACTCGAACGAGATTTATTTCGACTTCTAAGTGAAAGAAGCGGCCTTAGCGCTTGATCCAGCAACTGTCTTTTATTTCGCCTAGACGAGAGTGCTTAATCCCACAAAATTCACTGTCAATTTCTGCTTGAATGAGATCACTTAAGAGGCTCATATATTTAGTGCTGTACTGCTCCAATTTATGTAGGCTTTTGAATGGCTCATTCTCAGATGAGCAAGTAGAAAGTCTAAAAACTCCACACTTTTGGTTTTCTCCTACCTGTGATGCTCTCCTTGTCTCTCGAAATGGGAATGCCAGTCTACGCTTGCTTTGGCGTTAATATTTTGGACGTTTCAGTGTTTGGGAGATCATAGTGACTGTCATAATTCAAACAGCATTGTACAACTGCCGTGGGTGCAAACGAAAACATTCATTTTTATGGGTACAGTGAAATCAAGGGCGATTTTGGATAACTTTGTCACT